CTACTAACTTCTAATTAATTACTTATATTAATTAGAATGGAAATAATATGTAAAAAGATCAAGGGTTTTTTTGTCTATAATTTTTTTTCTCAAACTCACACTTGTATAAAGAGTATGATTTTTACAAATTTCAAATTTGTAGATTTTCAATGTGTACTTTGTATCTTTGATTTTTTTATTGTGGTTTTTTGTAAATTTTAAAATTTTCAGGGTGTTTTTTATAATTACCAAACCTGTATCTTTCATCATGATATTGTTATTTAAAAATATTAGGGTAGGAGAGCAACGTTTTCTATCTTTTCTATTTACTATAGATAATTGAATTTTAAGATAAAAACTAACTCCCAACTATCAATTTCTTATCTACTAATTTAAATATTTTAGGATTGGATAACTACTTTTGTCTATTTACTAATTATCATAGATAATTGAATTTGAAGATAAAAACTAACTTATAATTATTTATTTATATTAAATAATTTTTATTGTGTTTTTTATAAATTTTAAATTTTTGATTGTACTTTCTGTAATTATCAAACCCGTCTTTTATCATGATGTTATAATTCAAAAATATTAGGGTAGTTTGTATCGATGATTTTTTTCATTGTGTTTTTCTATAAATTTTAAATTTTTGAGGGTGTTATTATTATTATTATCAAACCCTTATCTTTTTTCATTATGTTCTAATTTAAAAATATTAGGGTAGGATAGCAACTTTTTATATCTTCACTAATTACTAAATTTAAAGAGAAAAACTAACTCCTAATTATCAAGTTCTTATCTCCTAATTTAAAGATTTTAGGATTGGATAACAACTTTTTATTTCTTTACTAATTATCATCGATAATTGAATTTGAAGATAAAACCAACTTATAATTATTTATTTATATTAAATAACTTTTATTGTATTTTTTTATAAATTTTAAAATTTTGAGGGTGTTATTATTATTATTATTACCAAACCCTTATCTTTTTTCATGATGTTCTAATTTAAAAATATTAGGGTAGGATAACAACTTTTTATATCTTCAATAATTACTATAGATTATTAAACTTAAAGATAAAAACTAACTCCCAATCATTAATTCCTTATCTCCTAATTTAAATATATTAGCATAGGATAACAACTTTTTTATCTCTACTAATTATCATAGATAATTAAATTTAAATGTTAAAACCAACTTCTAAGTAATTATTATATTAATTAGATTTTATTATTGTGTTTTTTGTTAATTTTAATTTTTCAATGTGTTTTTTATAATTATCAAACTCTTGTCTTTTATCATCACATGATTTTTTCAATTAAAAAATATTAGTGTGCGATAACAACTTTTTATGTTTTCACAAATTACTATAAACAATTAAATTTAAAAATAAAAACTAACTCCTAATTATCAATTCCTTATCTCCTAATTCAAAGATATTAGGATAATATAACAACTTTTTATCTCTTTACTAATTGTCATAGATAATTAAATTTAAAGATATAAACGAACTTCTAAATAGTTACTTATATTAACTAGAATAAAATAACAATGTAATATGTGAAAGGACCAAGGGTATTTTTGTACATAGAAAGTTTTTGTCAAATTCACACTTTTTATTAGTATGATAGTGGCGTCACATGCACGTACCCATGTCTTGTTCAATTATACGCCCTTATGTAAAGTTAATTTAGGCTTGTAGACCCTATCCCTTAATCAAAAGGGTTTTTTTCATCCAAAGAACTTTTAGAATAGGTTAAATTGTTAGAAACCATCTTTCAAGGTTTTTTTAATACAGAAACAACTTTATCAGTGGGTTTAGCTTTTAATTAACAACTCTAGAATAATTTTTGTTCAACTTTTATCCTAAATACCAAAAATACCCTCCTCTGTTCTCTCCTCACCCACCCTAGCTATCTTACCCATGTCCATCTGCATTTCATATCCTTCACTCTTGCCCTCGTGCAAACCACAGTTAAGATGGGGCAGGAGGGGGGAGTGTGAGATGGGACGAAAGAGAAATGAAAGAAGGTAGCTAGAAGAGGTGAGAGGAAGAAGAAAAGTGAAATGGAGGAGATAGGAGGAGGAGAAAATATGGAGGAGGAATGAGCATGGGTAGATGAGGACGGAGATGGGACAGAAGAGGGCGGAGGTGGGGTGGATGAGGGTTGGGAAGGGAGGATGGTATTTTAGACACTTTGGATAAAAGTTAAACATAATTTATCATGGGTTGGTTGATTGAAATCTAAACCTACTTATAAGGTGGTTTCTATATTAAAAAAAACTTGGAAAGTAGTTTCTATCGATTTGACTTATTTAAAGATGGTTTTCGTAAAAATTTACCCTTTAATGAACTTAATTTTACTCTTCATTTGGCCCAATCTCTAGAAAAAGGAAATTTTGTAAGAAATGTGTTTCATCTTCTCATTTATATGTTGATATAATAGTGTAAACTAAGTATCGATATTTCAGTCTTTTCTTCTTCTTACTTCACAAAAACAAAGGGTAGCTAAGTGATTGAAACTTTAGGAGTTTTCCTAGAAACTACCTTAAAAATTGGGTAATTATACGTAAACCACCTTTTATTCTTGATTTATACATAAATAACCTTTAAACTAGGTTTTGTTACACATTCTAGTTAATTTAAGTAACATGAGTTGTATCAAAACAAGACCTAAACACTAAAAAAATGAGTCATGGTGAGGTTTAAGGGTAATTTTGGGTTCTTAGATGAAAATTTTGACTGCGAGGTGGTTGATTGCAAAAAAATCAACTTTAAAGGTGGTTTATGCATAAATTGAAAATAAAAGATGGTTTCTAGGGGGAAAAACCAAACTCTAGGGTATCGAACTTCCACAAAATGGGGTTTATAGTATCAATCTATTAAATCATAGCTATTTTAATATTAGTCTCTCAAATCTTCATATTTTGATATTAATCCCTCAAATACCATTAGTGCATTGATATTTAGTTCATATGATTAGTTAGGGTTCTAAATGCCATGGGTAGTATGTCCCTTACCTACCATAGCCCAAACCCACTTGTTACTCAACCCGACCCATTAAGAAGCCTAACTCAACCTTGTCATTGAACCGATCAAAAAACAACAGCTCTTTCATTTGGTTATGTCTTTCTATTGTCACTCCTCGGCAACCATTCTACTATAACGTAGACCCCAGAAAGAACAATATGAAATTAAAACCAAAACATACAAATATCAAAATTACAATTCAATATGTCATGCATACAACAGCCTCAATATGGCAATAGATAAACATCATCCCAAATAAGGAATTGGCGATAAAATATTAATGTAGATATTGTAATAAGATTAGTCCCCGAATTAGGCTAAATTGAGCCAAACTTCTACTAATATTGGGAGTAGATTAAAACTTTTTATTGACACTCATCGACAACCATTCTACTCTAACGTAGACCCTAGAAAGAACAATATGAAATTAAAACCAACATACATATCTCAAAATTACAATTCAATGTGTCATGCGTACAATAGCCTCAATATGGCAGTAGATAAACATCATCTAGAATAAGGAATTAACGACAACATATTAATATAGATACTATAATAAGATTAGTTACCAGATTAGGCCTAAGTTGAGCCAAAATTCTACTAATATTGGGACTAGATCAAAATTCACATAGAAAAAGATTAGGGGTGGTCTCTATTCACTACAAACTTGAAATCTTTGAATTCACATGATATAAACACAGGCACAATATTTGCTAAAATTGAGCCCAAAATTAGGGCAAAATTGAACTTTGGAATAAATTTAGGGGTGGACTTTACATTCACTAGAAAGTAGAAACTTGATATCTTTTAGGACTATTACAACACTAAGAACCCTAAAAGATGTTTACTAAAAAAATAAAGGAAAAATTACCTCTGCGGCAAATGATTCTTCTTCACTGTGCAGTAAGGGGTTCTTTGTCTTGACTCAAAAACAAAGGATTGTACTTAATTTCCTCTTGATTTCGGGGGCGAAATCAGATTAGCCGAAATCAGATTAGGGCAAAAAACCCTAACTTTGATGAAGGAAGCAGGAAGTAGACAGACAGACGGGGGTTGGTGGAGTTTAACGAGGGGAATATATAGGTTACTAGCCATGTATGGTTAAGCCTAACCTAACCATGGTTGGGTGTTTTTAATAAAAACGTTAACGAAGGCACCAATATCAACACACTAATGGTATTTTGGGGCTTGTTTGGATTTGACCGCGATGAAGGGAAGTTAAGTGAATAGATGATAAGTTAAGCTAGAAAAAGTTAAGTATTATACAAAACTTGTTTGACAGTTTAGTAAAGAGAACCAATGAAAACTTATTTCACTCTATTTGGGAAGTTCAATAAAGCGAAGGGAATGTAAGGGAATATATATAAATTTACATAAATAATTTGATTCTTACATGTTATTTCACTTCTTTGGTAAAGTTGTTTCTATGTAATATCTTTTTTCAAGAGTTCACTTCCCCTCCATTACAGCCCAACTAAGGGAAACTCAAGTTTTTTTCCTCTCCGTTATCTTAACTGTCTCATTATTTGTCAAATGAACCCCCAAACAAGATTAATGTGTCCCCTATCTTCCCTTCCTATTACCTCTAATCCAAACAGGCAAACAGGCCCGTAGCACGTAGGGACTGAGATACTAATATCAACCCACAAAAAAACTAGGCTATGAAGAGTGTGTTTGACAATCCTTACAAAACTGGTCAAGATTACACCTAGCCCAGTTTTGTTCTAAAACTAGTTCTTTTGTAAACCGAGGGGGGTGTTTTACAAAAGAAATATTTTACAAAAGAACTAGTTTAGAGGTCATTTTTTGACCTAGGAAAAGTTGAGTAAATTTTGATCGAACTTTTGCTAAACACTTTTTTCCTCAAAATGAGACTAAGGCCAAAACTAGTGTCATTTTGAGGAGTTGCCGAACAAGCCCTAAAAATATTTGGAGTATCACAACAAAATCCCTATTTGATCTTCTTGTTTACTCTCCCATCACAGGGAAAAAGGGAAGGCAAACTAAAGGGTGAAATCAAGAATCGAGGAATCATGCTACAATTCCCAGCATTCATGAGACAGTTCCCATCTCCTCCCCTTCTCCCTTCCTCCACCCTTCTCCCTTTGTGGGCTTTCTCCCACAACGACGAGCTTCTCCTTGCTATGGAGGAGTCTGAACTCGAAGACAAGGTGCGTGTATCTTCATCGAGTAAGCTAGGGTTTACCTTATGGTTATTTGCTCTCATAACTCCATTTGGGTATCTTTAATTTAGGAACTCCGACTCTAGTTGCTTAAAATTTTTTGTTATGCCGTAATGATACCAAAAATCTTTTTTTCCCCTTATATCTTGATTTACATATTCTTTTACCCTTTCTTTTGTATACTAAATGCTTTAAACATCTCTCACTACTAATGTCTAGCAATTGCTAAAAGGTAGAAATGTCAATAATTCTAGTGGTAGTGTTTGAATGATGAAAGATGCATTCTTTTTATGTTGCAACTCACACTGTGAAAATCCTATTGCACTTGATATATAAATTGTCTCTATTATAAGACGACAAGACTGTAAGTAAATGAAAGTCAAAAAGTGTTGATTATGTCATATCTTGGGTCTGTGAAGTATAGTTAGCCTGTTCTTTTCCCCCTTGTTTTGTTCAAAGGCAGCAAGGACTTTGATCCAAACCTTCCATAACTTAATCACACCTTATAGGTTTGGTATCCCATTAACATCAACGTTTGCCTCCGAAGATTGCAAGAAAAGTTTGTTTTAGACCTTCAAGAGATGAATTTCTGTTGAGGATTAACGTTAAA